CCAAAGTAAAATTGTACGAAGCATTCGATCCTGTATTTTTTTCTTTAAACGGCTTAGGTTTAGATTCTAAATTCAAATAAGGAAATTCTTGTAAATCTTCGGGTAAAGTCACGTCTTCAAAATAACCTATAGTAGAAGGCGTAAATATACGCTGGCCAGGAAAATGAAATGTAGAACTAGACCATGTTTTTCCAGTATTTGGATTTCTAAAAAGAGCCTTCAAAAAAACCTTATCTGCATTTGTGGTAGCGGTACATTTTTCCAATCCTGCCCAAAGATCGAATTTGTTCTTTATAAAACCGTCCTTATTTCTCCCATTTTCACCTATCACAATAGAATTTAGAATCTGCTGCTCAGAAGCTTTCACGGGATTAAAGTTTCTTTTCCGAAAAGGACACGCTTCTATGATAACCTTATATGCAAATGGAAAAAAACCACCAACAACGATCTCCTAGAGACTTTCGTTTCAACATATAATCATCCGCACTCTCTTCATCCCATTGAATTTTATTACTACTCGAAACTGTAGGTATCCAAATCCACTTCGGCTCATCGTCATCTTTTTGCGTAAACAAAACTGTCTTCCTATGAAACATACCAAACGGACCTTCGGGATGAGGAAACTCGTCCTTATCATACCGTGAAAAAACACAATTCAAAAAGGGTAAAATAAATTCCTCTATACAATTACAAATATTTTCCACATGCCTTTTTGAAAAATGACCTTCTTCTATTTCTTCCAAAATATCCTCCCAGTTTCCAAAAGTAACATGACATTGCATCAACTTATTCTCATCCTCAATCGAAGGACCCACTATTACTAAATGAGGATCGGCATGACTATCCATTATAATGTTTATTTCTTGTTAACTAACTTTTTCCTTTGAAGTTTCACGAATGTCTCTCATGTATTCATAAATTGGATTATTTCTAGGTGCTACCTGAATTGTATTATACGAAATACAACCATAAATAGGATAACTAGATAAACTATCAAAACCTTCTGGAGCTTCTGTAAGATATACATTAGGTGGACATGTTACATATCTTGTATATATCGTTGGAGGAAGAGTATCCTCTTTATCTTTCTTATAAGCCATTTAGTACTGTATCCTTTGAAACACTTGCAGAACTGATGCCTAGCTACGTGGAGTGCGCCGTAATAAGGGTGAAGGGAGGGAATCTAAAGACATTAAAATTACTCAATTCCAATTCTTCAAAGAATATTTTAATAAATAATTGGAAAGAATTAGAAGACAGAAATTTATGACACCCTTTATACAAATACATCATTTGTCTAGAAACAAAAAGATCTGTTAAAGTCACATGGCAAGATGGAAAATTAAACATTAACGACACCTACAAATCTTTCCAATTTTTTTTTTCCGAAAATCAATCGGGAAAAAGAATTTAAAGAACTATGGAAAAGCCAACATTGGAAAGATTCCGAAGGTCAATGAAATAAGATAAAAAATTTTATCCTAACTAAATACCCAATCTACTATCCAAAATATAACTCTTTTGAAATTATAGGTATAGGTCAATCTAAAGATATAAAAAAATATAGAATTAAAAAATTTATTTGACTTTTCCAACACTACACTACACGACGAAAACTCAAAAGAATATTACCACAGAAAGAATGGTGAGTTTTCTATTTTATTCTCTCTATTCGTAAATAGAACAGATCTAAGTAATTATAATGTTATGCTACCAACCCCTTCAGAATGCTCTTTAAACATAGAAACAAAAACCGACCCATTTTGCACAACATGCCAAACGATGATAACGAAAAAGGATATAGAAACTGTTTCTAAAAAAATAATATCGGGTAATTGATTACTTTTCTTAACCTTAGCAGCTACCGTATTCTAAAAAAATCACACTTTTTCAGTAGTTGTAGAGATTACATGGGTAAAGAATTTACCACAAAATCGGGTGTAGGGCGGGTAGATCCCTGGTCTTGGACACAAAACGAAAAGATTATAGCCATTTCTGTGACTAGAGATGACAACGTTTACTGCTTCCCCGAAAAAAATATCGAGTTTCGAAAAAAGTAGTGTAGAATTATTACCCAAAGAAGATTTAACTTACCAACAATACTTAAATTCTAATACCCACTTCTTAGATCATTTACAAGTAGCTAGTAACGGCCGCTTTCTCAAAAATGAAGTCAACGAAAATAATTAGTTCGTTTTACAAATGCTTCACGTTGCAGGGGTTATAGAAAAAAAATCTACTTTTTGGACAATCAACACACCCACCATGGATTCTATCTATAACCTATTCCCTACTATCCAACCCCCTTCTCATATCAAAATTCTCAAAAAATGTACCTTCCCTAACTTTACTCACGATTATAACTGGACTCAATTGATCCCCATCAGGGTCCCCGACTTTAAGTTAAACGAATACATCAACAATTTAAAGACTTGTAAAAAGGAAAAAAATGCCATTTTAATAACAAACTTTCATAAAATCAACAAAGTCACGTTCTTTCACAAATTATTTAATATTATTCGTGCTAAGAAATATCTAATTTACTGCTGTGACGACTAAATATAACATTATAGAAAATCCTATTATACTGCCATACGTTATAGTCAAATGGAAAATACTGTCCGGACTTACAGGAGAAAACAATGCACAGATTCTACCCAAAAGACCTAGTATCTGTATTATCGAAACTATGGTCACTATAAAAATGATAGATGGCAACTGTTTTAATAACAAATAACTCTTTTCGATCTCTAAGGCAAATTCGGAAATTCTAATCTTTATAAACATTTTCAGTATTATACTCAATATTGAATAACATATTAAAAGAGATAAAAATTGTATACCACGTAAGACTGCTTTTACATGCAAAAATTAAAACCTATTTATTATATTCATTTCTTTCAAAACCGTCTCTTTATTTCAGGGTATAACTTTAACAGCGTCTCGCAAGTGAGGTTGTGGGCTGATGTTAAAACGTAAAAGTAGAGCAACTTCGTTACATTTATACCCAGTTCTTCTCTTTTATCCAACAATCTCAAACAACAACCATAAAAAATATCAGTTGCTATAACCGAATATATATTTTTGATTTTTTCTCTAGTTTTCTTATTCGTCTGTTTGACAAATAATAAATCGTAAAAATTCATAGGCTGGTTCTTAAATGAATTTCTTTTCATTCTCCAGTCTTTTGCAATTACTTTTGTTGTATCTTATATGAATGTATTCGATAAAGACGTATTTCCGATATCGAATACTAGAAAATAAACCCATGTAGCCCATATATCTTTACTCACTAAATCCAAATTCTTTTCCGATAGATTACACGGAAATTTTTTTAACGTGTTCTTTTTTATTTTTCCGTCTTAAAAATCCTCTTTAATTGTATCCCAGTTACCGAAATTTAGACTGTCGAAAACTAAAACAATCTCGAAATCATTCAAAACAGTACTAATAGTGGGGAGACAAGGGCAATTCACTTCCCTCAATTTTCCCCATTTTCGTAAAACTTCGTTTCGTTTTTCTACACTTTTAAAAGGACCTCTAATCAATTGCTTCTTTCCTGGAATAGCCCATAAAAATATTTCATTTTCATTCTTAGGACATTCAATCACGATTCTTCCTTCTATTTCATGACCTAATGGTAAAAAGCTTTTCTCTTTCGCTATCTTAGCTTTTTGAGTAATCGGCATTGGGTCTATTAATTTTATTTTTTTATTTTCCAAAGATATTTTTATAGGCGATTTTTTTCTTTTTACATCTTTAACTACTATTTCTTCTTCTTTTTTTTACATGTTTTTCTTTCGGTTTCATATCTAACAATCCTACCGGAATCTCTTTACTACTCTGTAGTCTTACGTGAATAGTTTGCCATAGAGACAGTTCGTTCCTACTATATTTTGTATTCTTAGATAAAATAATATATAGATTTAGCCAAGCCTAAAAGCAGTTATTTTTTGGAATGTTGTTACTGATGAAAATAATCCAACATGTACATGTGTGTGAAGTAAACTGTGAGCGATTTTATAGTTTGCGCCCGAAGTAGTATTACATCAGCAGATCGAGGTGTAAGATGGTGTGATGATGAAAATAGAGCCATGATTTCAAGCATTTTAGGGGAGCCACCAAAAATGTTGATCACATGACAGAACTGTCTTCTGTGCTTTTTGGTGGCATTTCCTGTTCTTTCTTATTGAGAAAGACAAGACATTGTTATTAATCATTATGTTCTTTCTTAGTTAACATGGGGACTCCCGCACAAAAGATGTYTACACATTTTTTGTTGTTGTTGTGGGGTATGACGGAAATGCAGTGGTTACAATATACTCAGTCCCGAAATTTCTACCAAATGAAATCTCACAAAAATACCAAAGTAGTATACACATGTAAAAAGTTCAAAAGTTTTGTTTTCTAACTTGATTCCCAAAGATAGTTAGCTATCCTCATTTTTGTATGGAGTCTCCTCTTGCTGAAAGGGTTTGCACCATCTCTCAAAGTACAAGTATGAGTAAAATCACTCTGGCATGAACGATAAATATGATATTTTGTTGCTGATTATGAATACTTGCATTGGCTTCTGATAATAATTTTATTATTCAATTCCAATGTGATTTGTTCTTTTTCTTGACTGAGATTGTGGACTACAGGAGCTGTTATTGGGTTCCATTAATTAATTAATTTTGCTATGATCAAATTATACCAAGAGTTATACGTAAGCTATAAGTAAGTTATATTATGTACGTGTATTTTGTCTTCACTACACAACCAAACACACTCAAAGATTATGAAGCATTGGTACATTTGTCAGAAAAAGCCAGCATATCAAAGATGTTTTGATTGACACATCAATTAAAGATAATTTACAGCAAAATGAATAAACAATACATCAATAGTATCC